CTACCTCACCGATAATAGGAGAACCGTAGCTGGAAATGGCAGTGGCAGCCTCAGAGCCTGGCTGTATAGAACAGCACACGTACAAAGACAAAGGGACTCAAAGACAGCAGCCTGGCCGTGCTTTGCATCAAGCCTACACACTTACAGGTCTTGACAGGCCCAGCTGGCAACAAGCAGATGTCGATCGGCTCATGCATGTACATCTGGAAGATAGACTTGTCACCTGGATATGCTTCAACTTTCATTGAATCAACGAGCAGCTCGCCACTCCCGGGCGAGAGGCAGGGCCAGTAGTGGTACAGGAAGAAAGCCCTGAACCTTGCGATTCGACGGCAATCTGAAGCCTCTAGAATTATTCGTGATGAAATTCACTCTTGTTTATGACCATGACTCCATTACGTAGGCTCCAGGCTGCGCTGCTCGACGCAGCAATGAATTCCCGAAAGCACCACCTCAAGAAGATTTCTTGCTACAAGTAGGTTTGCTAGCATGAAGAAGCTCATCTGCAAAGATGATTCTGTGACGTAACCGTGAACCAGTAGGGTTCGTGCAGGAGAGGCGACGCCGCACCGCCTGCAGCTTCTTGTAATCCATGATGAGAACCTGAAGCTCTGAAGCAATTCGAGGTTTTCAGTGCCTGACGACTACTTGCTGTGTATGACAGTGAGTGGTGCGGTAACGAACAGCCACCGGTCTGATACTGCGGCTATGACGATTATGGATAATGGTAAATGCCCATAGCCCTGCAGGTGAATGAAGACTTCAGCAGACTGTGCATTCTGGTGCCAAGGCCACAGCTAGCTCTCCCTTCTGGGCGCCCAAGAGAGGCTCACATCTGTACGCCAGCCTGGATACTTTGGAGGCTTTTTGGGATTCATGTTTGCATGAACCGGTAAAGCCGAGAAACTGTGAGTCCCCCGGGCCAGTGGTCAGAACTGCTGCCTCAAAGCCGGGTAACAGCTTCAAGCCGTACAGCAGAAGAAACAAAAGCTGGGCCGCTGGGGAGGTGATGTCATCAAGGCTCAAGGAGACGTAACCAAGCCGCGTGTCGCCACCTCAGTTCCGAGGACGTCGTTTCTTCACGACATGATGCAACAAATCAAAGAGGCCAGGCCAGGGAGGGGCCCAGCCGTGAGCAGTCCAAGCGGCCGAAGAGCGGTGCCCGGCTCATCACCTCCAGCTCCAAGTTACCTTCGATTCGTAGCTGGGGCTTGTGGCTCCTAAAGTTGACCTTTGAAAAAAACGTTGGGGCCGGCCTCTGGTTGACACCACGGGGAACTCCATGAGACAATTCCAAGCTGGTCTCAGGTTGCTCCTGCACATTCCCAATCCCCCCAAACTCCACAGAGTCTCACTGGTTGGTGCCATTTCTCGTCAGTGTCCAGACTGTTCGGCTGCGTCGGACTTGCGCGCCAAGTCGTCCGCGCCTCTTCATCACGGGTCTGGGAAGGAGAAACAGAGAAGATCCGATTCTTCGTCGCTCAGTATCAGGCACGTAAGGGTTCGTGCCAATACCGTGCACTGGCACCAGGTCGCGGGCCTCGACCACCAGCACCTGCCAAGAGCGGCTGAACGGCCCAACGCAACACTCAGCAGGTGTCCACACAACCCGGTGCCTGCAGGATTCCCGTGGCCTCAGGAAAATCGATAAAAAGATCTGGCACATGCCATATCGCACGTCCCGGTGCTCCCTCAGCAACTTGTGCCCGTGACTATGTCAGGAGCGGCTGCAAGTTCTTCCTCTCGCTGCTGGCCTGCAGGACGAGCAATGACGAGCAGAATGCGCTTTCAGGGACGCACGGGAGTCTTCGACAGGCTCAGGTCGTTGCTGCCAGCCAGGGAGGAAGCGACCAACCTGCAACATGACAAGGCCTGCCGAAACACAGGGGCCTTGATAATTAGAATAGGGTTTTGGGGCCCATTATGCTATAATTATAATATAAGGAACCCCAGATCAATATTCAGCTCGATTACGCGAGGGCCCAATCATGCCAGGCTGCCATGGCGACAGCGCTCGGCCTCGGGTTTTCAGACAATCGAAGCTCCCTGACACGTCAGCTCCAATCCAAGAGCAGCACCGAGCGGCCCCTGTGGAAGGCTGCCTCGACAAGAGGGCTGCACGGACCCTTTGAGGACACACCCAGACAGTGAAGGAACTCTTGAGATTGCTTCGGTCAGATGGTTTGCAGGGGCTTTGTTCAGCAAGACTCTTCGCTGCGTGATGCTTCATCTCCACAATCCAAGGCTTGCCTGTCGACTCCTCCTCATCGTCCTCCTGCCGCCTACCGGACGACGCGTCCAGCCTCGGTCCGACTGCACTGGGAGGATTCTGTCAGCCAGATGCAGGTGTCACGCTGGCCGGAAGCACGCTCTGGATCGCTGCAACAGAAGCTTCTTAAGTAATATGCGGGCAAGCTGCTCAAGTTCAACGACCATGTCGGCCCAGAAAACCTGCCAAGAGTAGGGAGCCAAGCCCACACAAGTTCATAAAATTCTGTGGGCTTGTGGGGTTCATGTCCACAGGCTCTTTAGATCTCTTTAGGCTGACCGTGGCCACTTGCGGCCATGCCACTCGTACCAGGGAAGTGATCAAGCTTTGCAGCGCATCGGGCATGGCAGGATCCTCGTCATGTAATGTCCACGAGAGCATCGCGTCCCGTTTCTGAGCCCTGCGTCATAACCATAATGGTATTCTTGAACACTATGGTAGAGAGTCTCTCCTTCGTGCACTGCTCCAGGACATGCTGCTGCATCTCATCCTGACAGCCATCTCCCATTGCAGCAGGTGGCCTAGCACCTCCCACGTACAGTGTAGGCAAGTGGCCAAAAGGCGCCGGCGCGCGCTCTTGGAGAGCAGCAGTGGCAGAAAAGGTACATTCATGGCCTGGAAACTGCGGATGTCACTCACGGCAATCCCCCGATTGCAGAAATCATATCATCGATGGGCCTGGGGATAGTTGTCTTGATAATGGCCTAAGTCTGGTTTCTTCTAGGGTTTCGCAACAACCTTCTCTTCCCTAAAATGGAAACCTGATCTTGAAAAACTGCAAAAGCAGGCGCGGGCAAGAAGG